GCAGTATCTTTAAAATAAAAATTTTTAAATGGTCTTGCTCTATTGCCCAGGCAGGAGTGTAGTGGCATGATCTAGGTCACTGCAGCCTCAAACTCCTGGGCTCAAGCAATCCTCCCACCTCAACTTCCCTAGTAACTGGGACTACAGGTGCATGCCACAACACATGGCCAATTTTTAACATTTTTGTAAAGATGGGGTCTTGCTGTGTTGTCCAGGCTGGCCTCAAACTGCTGGCCTCAAGAGATCCTCTTGCCTCAGCCTCCCAAATTTCTGGGATTACAGGTATGAGCCAACACACCTGGCCTCCCTGTTGGATTTGTTTTTTTTTTATTCATTTTTAATTTTTAAGCCTGGTTTCCCAAGGTTCACACCTGGGCCCTGCCTCTGAGGTTCAAGCGATTCTCTTGCCTCAGCTTCCCGAGTAGCTGGGATTACAGGCACCCACCACTACGCCCAGCTAAGTTTTTGTATTTTTAGTAGAGATAGGGTTTCGCCATGTCGGCCAGGCCGGCCTTGAACTCCTGACCTAGTGTTTCACCCACCTCAGCCTCCCAAAGTGCTAGGATTACAGGCGTGAGCCACCACGCCCAGCCTCCCCAGTTTCTTAAGATGGAAGTTTATTGATTTGAGACCTTTCTTTTTTGGAATATAAGTATTTAATATAAATTTTCTTGTAACCACTGCTGTAGCTGCATCTCCTAAGTTTTTTTTTAATAAGCTTTATTTTTTCAAATAGCTTTAAAGAAAATTGTACAGATAGTACAGATAATTCCCATGTGCCCCACACCTGTTTCTCATACTATTAACATCTTATACTAGTATGGTACATTTGTCACAACTGCCTTTTTTTTTTTAAACTCAATTTTTAATTATAACTTACCAAACCGTGTCTAGGAATGTCTCCAAACAACTGAACCAAAAGAAACATGATAAAACTCTCCTGTTGAAGAAACCAAGAGTTTGTGCCAGCCCCAGTGCTTCTGAGGGTGAGGCCAAATATAGCCCACTCCTGAGGCCAGCCCTGTCCCCACGCAGGGTTCTCGGCCTGAGAATAGGATTGTGGATGGGTGAGGGACCTGTCTCCTCTTCCACCATGCTGGGAGCTCTTAGATAAAGTCACTGGTAGGCGATCCCCTCCTCCCACCCCATGGAGACCCTCTGGGCACCTTCCAGAAAGCCAGGGAGCAAGACCGAGAGTCCTGGTGCCCTCCGGGCCTCTCAGCCAATGCTCCACTCCAGTCCACTCAGCGGGCTGCTTCCAGAGCCCAGGGTGGGGATTAAATAAAATATGCGTGAGAGACAAACTCAAATGCCCCACCGTCTCCATGATGCAAGTCACAAAGCAGAATACAACAGCCCTAGTGGCAAGTGACAGCCCTCAGAAGACACGCTCGAACTCCGTCTGGTTGGTGGTGGCGGGATTGCGGCTCTGGTTGGTGGACTGCTGGGTGATCTGGCTGCCCTTCCGGCGCGGCGGTGCCAGGTACTCAAACATGGACGTCAGGTGAGTGGAGAGCATCCCCTTGAGGTCAGACGGCATGGGGTCAGACCAGAAGAAGTCGTGGTTGAGGGCATCGTCGCTGTCGATGCGCTGGGCAGGGTCCAGCACCAGCAGCTTGTCGATGAGGTCTAGCGCGTACGGGTCGCACACATAGGCCTTCAGCCTATCCTTCACCTTCCGCTTCTGGCCCTTGACCAGCTCCAGCTTGTCATACAGCTCATACTTGTCCACGTTTGGCCACATCTCAGGAATAATGGAGCCGCAGAGCTGACCTGATGAGGGCGAGCTGCTGCTGCTCCGTGTTGCCCCACATGATGGTACTGCAGGTCCACGTCTCTGCCATGATGCACCCAGCACCCCACAGGTCAGTGGGGGGGGCCATAGTCCTGCTCCCCGAGCAACAGCTCCGGGGACCGGTACCAGAGTGTCACCACATGGTTGGTGTAGCAGTGGGGCTGGCTGTTCTTGGCCAGGCTGAAGGCCCAGGCCAGCCCAAAGTCTGCCAGCTTCAGGATCCCATCACAGGTGATAAGCACATTAGCAGCCTTCATGTCCCTGTGCAGGATCCTGTTCCTGTGGATGTAGTGGAGGCCGGTAAGCAGCATCTGCATCACCCTCTTGATCTTAAACAGCATGAACTTCACCAAAACATTGCTCAACAGCCCAGCAAGGTCGTGTTCACAGAAGTCCAACACCAGGTATATACTGCCTTGCAGCCGTTACGGGGGAAGCTTTGGTTTGACAAATCTCAATCAAGTTGACCACATTCTCGTGTTTTGGAAGCTGGAAGATCTTGATCTCCTGCAAGGCTGTAATGGGGAACCCCTCCTTCTCATTTTCCATCCACACCTTCTTCAGAGCCACCTTCTGGCAGGTCTTGCTGTGCTCGGCCTTAAACACCTCCCCGAAGGTGCCTTGGCCGATCTTGGCAAGCTTCTCGTATTTGGTCACTTCATCACAAAAGGGGTACTCCACCAAGTCCTACTGCTTTGCCATGGTCGCCTCCAGCGCGCTGCCGCCACCCCCAGCCGCCGCTGCTGCCATTCCCGCTCCGGGTCCCACCACCGCGCTCCAGGCCCCTCTGCGGCCCGCCACTTCCGCCCACAACTGCTTTTAACAAATCTTGATACATTATTATTATATTAAAGTCCATACTTTATTCTGATTTCCTTCGTTTTCACCTTAAATCCTTTTTCTGTACCAGAATCCTATTCTGGATACCACGTATTTACTAGTCATGTTTCCTTAGCCTCCTGTTGGTTTTAATAGTTTCTCAGACTTTCTTATTTTTATTATTAATTAAAAAAAAATTTTTTTTTTAAGATGGGATTTCACCATGTTGGCCAGGCTGGTCTCAAACTCCTGACTTCCAGTTATCCAGCCTCCCAAAGTGCTGGGATTACAGGCGTGAGCCACCACACCGGGCAGTTTCTCAGGCTTTCCTTATTTTTGTTGACAGTTTTGAGCAATACTAGTGAGCTATTTTGTAGAATTTTGAATACTTTGTTACTTTCTGGCACTATAAGATGCTCCAGGCACATCTTCTAATATTTCCTATCCTACTCCTAGAAACAGTTATTTCCACAAGCATAAGGAACCCTAATTTCTTTTATTGGAGAATTGTACTACGGATTAACATTTGGGCCAGGCATGGTGGCTCACACCTGTAATCCCGGCACTTTGGGAGGCCAAGACAGCAGGATCACTTGAGCCCAGGAGTTCGAGACCAGCCCTGGCAACATAGTGAGACCCCATATCTACAAAAAATAAATAAAATTGGCCGGTCATGGTAGCACACGCCTGTAGTCCCAGCTACACAGGAGGCTGAGGTGGGAGGATTGCTTGATCCTGGGAGGTCGAGGCTGCAGTGAACAGTGATTGCACTACTGCTCTCCATCCTGGGAGACAGTGAGACCCTTTTTCAAAAAAAAAAGAAACCAAGATTTGGGTGCTTGAGGCCCTCAAATATCATTATCATATCATTTTCAAATATCATATCATTGCTTCTACACCCTGTTAGCTGATAAGGAACTATACATATGTATACTAACATATATACACACATACATCCCTACTCATGAATATTTCTATATGTAATCATCTGTATCTTTATTAAGGTAAATTTGCATTCATACTGATGTTTCCAACTCTAATCCATTACCACATGGATCACTCTGCCCTTATCTACTTACCTACTTGCTTATCTGCAACCTCCCACTCCAGAAGTGAGAAACCTGGCTCCTGCCATCCTCCAGCCATTTACTTGTTTAATTCCAGTATACAAGTATTGTAGTTTCAGAAATTTAACCCAAACCCCAGTGGGAAACCCCTTTATCAAGTAGAATACAATGCTTATGTACAGTTTCTTTTGCCTTCAGTATTACGGGTGCCACTCATTTCCAAAGTTATATCGTTCAGCATCTGTTCCACTACCCCCTTATATGAGGTTGCTTCATACATTTTCAACATGGTTAGATTCTTTCGTCAAATTCTACATTCCCTTTTGGGATTCCCTGATCTCCTAAATGACTTTTTTAATTTGCATATATTAAGGTTCATTCTTTGTGCCTTAAAGTACTGAGCATTTTGACAAATGCATTGTATCCTGGGATCCCATGACTTCCTAAATGATTTTTTTTTTAACCTTTGTAGGCATTACGATTTATTCTTTGTACTCCAGTATTCCCTGGGTTTTGATATATTTTCTTTTTTTAAAGTTCCAAATGTTTTCTTTTTTTTTTTTTTTTTTTTTAGCTATTCTAGATATTTTGCCTTTCCA